TGGAGATGTATGATTTACGGGTCAGAAATGTCAAAGAGAATTACAGGGATATTTGAAATTCACAGTAGGTAGGTAATTATTAAAGTTGAGAATTGCATCCGGAGAAATCTTGATCTTATCTCCTAAATATCTATCATTCCTTACGAACCACTTCCATAGAGCTTCATCATATTTAAAATATTCATAGCTAACAACAAAACGACATATTAATTAATTAATTAACAATATTAACATGCTTATCAATTTGATCTTTCGAAATTCTTGTGGCGGCCATTTTGATTCCATGCATGACGGCTGCATCATCGTGGGAAGCCATTTTGAATCATTCGTAAGCAACGCGCGCAATCTCTGATTCTTAAGTAATTACTTTAATTAAATGTTATGGGATCATTGTGTGGTAGATGTTTGTAATGACCTTCTGATTGTTGTGTCAGCTCCTTTCCTAAGCCGGCTGTAATTTTTTGATGTCTCTGATTACATTTTTTAAAGAGTACTTATGTAATATGAATTGTATCATGACCTTTATCTAGACATTTCTGAATCGACGACATCATAAAGGTCACAGTGAAGTGTGTAATCTGCTAGATGCAGGTATTTTCCAAACAGTTGCTCTGGAAGTCAGGAGAGGTTTTCGATAACTAAAAATCACCAAAATCAATTCAGCAATATAACAATATGAAGTTAACCCAGATTTCAGTGCGTTTCACCACGAGATTAAATCCTGTACCTAGCGGGACTTGCAGGAAATAAATAAATAAAAGGGATTTATTAACTACACCCATGACTTCAAACCTACATTCTCCAGCTTCATACAAATTAAGATGTCTAACTTTGTGACTGCATAGTTTCAATCATAAGTTCCCGTTACTAGAATCGGAAGCTATGTTATTTCTTGCTATTAATAATGTATGGGTCTCCCTGGGTGGTACACTGGGACCCATCTGATGCAGACGTCAAACTTTGAGGCTCGTTTTCCAATGCTTGAAAGGCCAGATAAGGGTTTTTTTTTTTTGATATCGTGTGATCTGTAAAAGTTTCGCTTCTTCTTTCTGTTTTAGATATTTGAAGGGGCCAATAGGCTCACCGTAATAGGGGAAGTTATACAAAAACAACTAGTTTCGGTATTAGCATTGAGTCTAAATCAAATTCGACTGTGTTTGATTATTGGTATTTTACTTGGAGCAACTGTCATGTTGCTTCATCTTCCCTCCGCAAGCCTTCGAGGTTCAAGGGTGGTAACCGCGTCATTCTTAATCTGTTTTTAGGGCTTTTTGGATTTCTGACGTTTTGTACTTACTTTTAATTAGGTACGTAACTAGCTCAGAATTATTGTCTTAATGCCAATAATATTTATTTATATATTTTTAAATAATTATGTGATCTTTGGCGCTGTAGCAGACTATGGTAGTAACTACTCCTTATGACAACTGGGATCGTTTCTTATCAAAAAGTTGATCCTCAAACATCCTCTTCAACATTATGTCGTACGCAGCGGAAAACGACATCATACAGATACAAGGCGATTCGAGTAATCTGTATCGAACGAATAAAGGAAATGGCTTGTCCACTCGATTACTGCGATATTTACCTGTCCCATAGTAACTAACTGTATAACTGTGGTTCTAATGTACAGATGGCAGCACATCAGACTATATCGTTTTGTAAATTTTCTATCGATCGATTCTCAACTTTATTGTTTTGAGGTAATGTTGAAAATTAATTGAAAAATGTTGTGTATTTGGGATAGCATGAAGCATGAAGCATAGCATGCTGGTTACTGGTTGTGTTCCTCATAATCTAGATTGTATTAAGGAAGAGATTTATATTTAAGATTTTAAGATGAATGAACTGCGAATATTCAATTTTTTTATGATTTGATAATTGTCTGCCTCGTTGGCCGAATGGTCGTAAGTGCGACTGCCGGGCAAGGGGTCTCGGGTTCGTTTCCCGGGTAGGGCAAAGTATTACTGGATTTAAAAAAAAAATCTCAATTGTAGCACGGAATCTGGAATTGTGCCCGGTATATGGCAATAGACTCACCGCCTATTACATGGGACTCGTAACATAAATAGTGAAAAGTTGGTATTATATTGTACAGTGGTTTAATGTGCACCTCTGCCTACCCCTTCGGGGATAAAAGGCGTGATGTTATGTTAATTATTGATGATTTCAAATACACCTTATGGTAAACAATCGGCGTCGCCCATGGACACCGGAACCACAAGAGGCGTTAGAAGGGTGTTACCGGCCTTTTGGGATTAGGAATATGAGGATTGTTGAAGAAATTATGAAAATAAAACTTTCTAATAATCGAGATTGGCGAAGATATTATGTACAATGTGTATTTATGACTATACACCCGTGGTTTTACGACTACAAAGAAACTATCTACAACTCTAGTTACAATAGAATTGCATGCGGGCCCCGGTGTGCACTGTAAATCATTTTAATGCATTTTTAATATCATATCGTAAAAATGTGTATTATAAAATAGACTTTATGTCTCGCTTCCTTAGTCTAGTTGTGGGTGGATACTATTTCTAGCAGAATTTATCCGGTAAATTAACGTTAGGTATATTTTTGCTGGATTGAACATTTGATGAGCTAAACGTCTCCAAAGTTAATTACGTTTTATTTGCAAATACGATCAATACTAGTAGTAGTAGTTAGTATTGATCCGAATCAATTTTTTTAAGGGGGGAAATCATCGTATGGCTTCTCCCGCTTGGGTGAGGCGGGAGGGAGTGTCAGATTCTTACTGAGTAAAACCACCCCGTTCCTACTCCTGCACTTCGAGCCGGAGCCCCGGTAACGGATAAGTTTTTTCGCGGCTCCGTATCGGCATCAGTCCTATTGGGCCCCATCTGTGGTGGACTGATGGCTCTTTGAGGCGCGCGAACGCGACGCGCCGTACGCTCGGGTTTGGTTCTGGTCGAGCGAGCTACCCATGGTCTCCGTCCGCAGGCTCGTGCTGATCCGAATCAATACCAACTTAATAGGCCTGAGTACTACTCAATTAGTTCTGTAATCTGAAAAGAGATAAGTTTAGGTAAATTCCTAAACCTATCTCTTATTCCATTCCAACAGTACATTCGATCTTTTTTCTCTTTCTCTTGGCCTTTTAATAATTTACTCTGTCCTTTTTAAATTCGATGCCATGGATTAAAGATGCAGTCTCCTACTGGTTAGCTACTGAGCTCTTTAGCTCTCAATGATTTGTAATGACTAGACGGCATTTTATCAACCTACAATCCAGATTTTCAAACTAGATCTTAGATCCTAGACCAAACAAAAACATCGAAAACGGACCTTAGCAGCTCGTTAACCTTCAAATACGCCTAAATTACAGTTGAACCGCTTACATAAGTTATTTTAAATCGCTTAAATATTACATAACTAGCTGAACAGGCGCCGAGATGCATTGCTAATTTAATATTATAAGGATTCTGATGCAGTCTGGTGATATTTGAATATATTCATTAATTGATTTCGCGTAGGAACTTGTATACATTCCCTCTGCAAGGTGAACCACATATTAAAGTAGTTGCTATTATCATTTTGCGACAATAATTTACCTCGTCTCGTGGAACAAAAAGGATTGTTGAAGGAAAAGGTTTTTAGTTCGCGTTATGGCTACTAGGGGCGCTAGTCGTTGTTGATGTTTTGATGATGGGTGTTAAAATATTAATATTGTATATTTTCTTACAAGTATATATCCAAGTTTGTATTACTATCTTGATAATGTTTTTTTTTTAATCTTTATTTAATAAGAAAGCCTTTTTTCCTTAGAGAAAAATGTCAGCCCTATTATAGGATACAAAATGTAGTACAAAAAAGCAGCTAAACCGTTTATAGGTTTAACTAGCCCTTAAACTGCCTCAGGTAACAATGGTGACGGTAAAACACTGTGATAAAAACCAATATTAAAGCTCTTGAAACTAAAAACCTGATTCCTCTGAGACTCAATACGTCGACACTCATACAAAATGTGTTGCACATCCTCTACAGCATCACACACAGCACAATTTGGTGATTCGACTTTATGCATCTTGATAATGTTTAGTAGGTATTAACTTATTATCCGGGTCTTTTGTACACGGGAAAATTTTACATAGACTTCTCCCGCTTTGGGTTAGGCGAGAGGGAGTGTCAGACTCTTACTGACTAAAAACCACCCCGTTCTCACTTCTGCTCATCTAGAACTAGAAGGAGCCCCGCGTCTTCCGCGGCTCTATATCGGGCATCAGCCCTAACTAATTAGGTATATCGAATCCTAAAGTCAAAGTCAAAGTTTATTTCGATTAATCCATAATTTGGTACTTTTGAAACGTCAATAAATACAAAATAAATAATAGTCTGTCAGTCAGTCCGTCAGTGAAGCTATCTAGCTTCACTTTTTTGTTGATTCGAATGGAGAAGAACGAGCAAGACAAAGTAACTCCATTCGTTACTCTTTAAAAAAAAGTATGTTCTACGATGTCTCTGATACATATTCCAATATTGTATGAATATATGAGAACAATGTAAAGATAGGTAGGATCCTTAGTCCAGTCTAGCTGGATTATAAGTCGCTAAAACTTGTCGAGCACATCCGATAATCATCAAAAGATTTGTACCTACCTACAAATTAGTATCTACATAAATGATCGAAATAGAATCACTGTATCTTTTTAAAAGTCGATGAGCATTTTTTATTACCTTGTACCTCTACCTACCTATCTACGTTGGTACAGCTACTTAGGTAGGTACTTAGAAATTGCTAAGAAAGTCGATAACCAACAATACCAACTAGTACCTACTACTACACAGTCTACTCAAACTCAAAACACCATACAGAACGTTTTATTTATCTTGCCAATGTTGAAGTAAACTTACAAGTTTATTTTTCCATTACAAAAATATTTTGAAAATAACACAAACCATCTGACCATATCCGAACGCACGGGAGAGTGGGAGATCGCGCGCAATGATGACGTTTCGTTGCGTTCCCCGTCAGTTCGCCGCGCCGCGCCGCGTCGTATTCACGTGCGTAAGGAGACTCGCTTCTCGCCGACAAATACCGTGAACCGCAAAGAACTCAGCTGTGAATAAACACAAATAACAACTTCGACAACCAAATAAAAACATTTAGTGCACCCAAACAGTGAACTGGACAATCTGTGTGTCATACCCAGTGTCAGCAACGTTTAAAAAACGTAATCTTTCTAAGCATCTCGTCGTGTGCTGTCCGGATACTCGTGAGTATTTTAGTTATTTTAACTGTACTTTCCATGCTTTGCCGAGCCACGCTTAGATACAGCCGTTCGCGGAAAAAAATATCTCGTTCGTATATCTACGCCTAGTGTCTGCTATTGTATAATCTGATTCTGCATCTAGAACTCGAAGTAGGTCGTATACTGATCTATTACCTGGCTGAATTTAGATGCCGGCAGTTCTAAACATTGGTTCTTTAAAAAACATTACGTTTCAAACCGGTTGCTTGTGGAATTTGCATTTTAGTGGTCAAAGGCGTCAGGTTTTTTTGCTAATTATAGTCATTTGGTGGATTTTGTCCCCTGTTCTGCGAGTTTTGTGAGATTTTGTGGGTGTGTGGTGTTCGTCTTAGCTACCGTTGGATTGTTTGGCAGGTACAAAGTGGTTGGATAGTTTGGATACCCTATTTAGAGACGGTCGCGGTAAAATACCTACGTTATACTACCTACGATATCTGTAATAGTATTTGTGACCACGAGAACAATTTTTAAACAGTACAGTTTAGATAATATTACTTATTTATCAATAACAACAAATGGTAACAATAGTGAACGTCACACATTCCGTTCCAGGGGATCAAGGCATCCCTTTTATTCGGGCTACATCCCAACGTTTGGACAAAGCGTATGCCAAAATCGCATCCAATTGTTATACCTTCATATAAACACGACAATATAATGTACTGTATGTGTGTGTGTGTGTAATGTAATCTCAATTCGCAGTTGAATGGCTCGCAGATATTCTGATTCTGATACGTATTGATGTATGGCGGGGATAATCTCTGCTCTGGAATGTACCTACCTACTTTTTTTAAGGTAGTTTGTGAATAGGCCTAATGAGAACTGACAAAACGTTGTGAAAGATCCAAATGATGATTTAATATTAAAAATGTATTACTCACCTTATGTAGTTCTATCGTAAGATTCTAAAGAAGAAGAAGAAGAAGCTTACTGCATAGTCTTATGTTAGTTTGGTAGATATGCAGCTAATTAGCTGTAATCAAGTAAATGCAAAAGTTACAATAATTTTAAATAACTTTCCAGTTGAAAGTAAAGAAACTCTCAATTCTAATTAGACACGTAATACCTAGTAAAATATTAATTTAATTATAAAACGGTAGTAGAAACAGTCTAGTAAATTCATTCATAAAACTTGTTTTAAAATACTCTAGTATACCTATTTACTACTCGTATTTCGCGTTGGTTTTACAAATGGTAGGTACTAAAGTATTTAAAGATCTATCACAGCTACAATCCTTAAGCTTGCAGGTCAATGAACTTTAATCTTAAGCCTACTCACTACGAAACCCCACTAGTTTAAAAACTGGTAGGATTACTAGCATAAACATAAAATGTCGTCTCTTTTTAAGGAGTAGGCAAAAGTCATCCTAGTTATACTAAAGGCATTCTCATTTCGCTAATTATCCAATAAAATCATAGGTTTATGATAGGTTATAGAGAAGAGAGCGTTTAGTATGTTTCGGGCACATTTTAGTCCGAAATCAAAAATATTTAGGCAATTCTGTAGCTTTTCAAATGAGACAGTAGTTTTTACGCTATGTAGGTATTCTTTATAAGGATAAAGACCTAATGAATGAGATTCGATTGTCCTGGTTATGGAAAATTCTAAATTAAAATTCTAATCAAGCAAGCTGATTTCATACGGTATCTGGTTCTAGAACTAGCGTAGTCCAGTCAGTCTTTTTGAGAGCCTAAAAATGTTTGACTACCATCCAACTATTACCTAGCCTATAAAAGTAGACGGAAAAAAATGTTGTTAAAAAAAAAGGAACGATAAACGCTAAAGAACTTGTTAAAAATGTCGTTTGTTCTAGGTTACCGTTATTCGAATAAAAATCGCAGCAAAACCTAAACCGTTGAAAGTTAATAGAATCTTTTTTCCGGCGACATTTGCGAAATTCTTGCAATGTGCAAAAACTATTCTAAAATCACCTTGACATGACGCTAACTATCCCGCCTAAATTGGTAGCCGCCATTTTGAAATCATTTGCAATGTTAATTTCTGCTACTATTTTAGGAGTTTCAAATAAAATTTGACAGTAAATAATTTCGTTTCACTGGTTGTGTAGAATTGTAGACGTGTGATGTAAGTGTCATCATTCTGTTGATTATTTCCGGTCATTATTCGCATAATCAAAGACATTTGGTTTTCTAAATGTTATTTTTTTATTTCCATGGATGTTGTTGCCGTCACACTAGTTATTTTTGTTATTGCTAGCTTCGTAACTTAAAGTGAAAAAAACAAAGGCATTCTCCGTGGAGGTCTGACTACTGAATGATTTAAGATCTTTCAACGATTCCAATTACCAGTTATTTGTTTATAATTCTTCGTTTCAAAGAGATAATGATGTTGACGATATATACGAAGGCGTACGTCAAGAATTTCCTTTCTTTGTTAAAACCAAGAAACATGTGCATACCGAAGTTTTAACTGCGCCTTTCTAAAGGTAAATACACGTGTTGGATGCATTTCCTAAAATAGCCAGGGGTAAACAGCAGTCAGAGTAGTGGTTACAAAAATAAACGAAGCCACATGGTCGAGAGCTGGCACGGCCGATACTGAGGTAGGGAAGTCATTATTGTATCCTAATGAACATTGCTTCAATCTAGAAGATAAAGAAATATCCAAAGATGTATTTCCAAAAGTCATACGTGTGCTGAAACTACACAAGAAAGTGCCTACCTATACTTAAAGATCCATCTTGAGTCTGACCTTTCACAAATTGGACATAACTAACCACAAATAGCAGGTTTTAGCAATAACTTTTTCATATTTAGCAATATGTGTTGGTAGATAGATGACGTGTCTTTGATAGATTTTGTAGAAACGAATGCAATTTTGATTTTGCATCATAACATATTTCTAAATTAGGCAAACCTTCATTACTTTAAAACACTTTAGATGGGAGAAGATTTTGCTGCATCCTTGAAAAAATATAGCTCCCTTATTAACAGTAAAGGTGATTGTAGGTAATTATTAACTAAGTATTGTTTAATCTGTTGACGAATATATCTTTATCAAGTTACCATTAATATGTATGTATGAGATACCAATAAAGCGGTTGTTAATCCAAGGCTTCCTTTCTCACGAATTTATTATTTTATTGATTTATATCTGTAACAAGAACCACAGAATAAAGGTTTTAATTTTTATCAGGAGAAAAACTTAGTACTTATTGATACTTAAGATTTAATTTCAAGTCTTCTTTGTTGGTACATTTTTGTTTTTGGTCCTGACAGCAATTCAAATAGCTGGATGATCAAATTTCGTTTACAGCTGCCAGGTTGAGACAATTTCAAGTTTTGTTTTCAATAATGGTGGAAAATCCATGTCTATTGCATTTACCATTACTAAACAAGCATTATACTGAGCCCGTCGCAATACTTGGCAGCATGTAGTAATTAAACATTAATCGAGGGTAAGTCGTGACATACCTAATTGTATTAACGAACAAGTCCTTGGGCTAATGGCACATTTGTCACCTGTTGTAGCTTTGTAACCAAACAAAACAACACTAAAACAGAAATTAATGCGATAGCAAAAATTTAATGCAAAAATATAATAAAATTGTACATTACTGACGTTATTCTGGTTCAAACAGATGATAGTGATGATTTAAGTGACGTTTTTCGTACTCCGAAGCAGAAGTTTTGACATTTCGTTAAGGCATAGACATCCAAATCGACCTTAGTAAGAGAAAACTACAGCTTACGGCTTTAGCCAGGTACTCAAATTACTGCTTTTTTTTTAATGGAGGAAAATCATCGAGTGGCTGCTCCCACCTGGGTGAGGCGGGTGGGAGTGTCAGACTCTTACTGACTAAAAACCACCCCGTTCCTTCTCCTGCACTTCGAACCGAATCCCCCGTAACCCCCGTAACTCATTAGGTTCTCTGCGACAGTCAAATGACTGCTAGTGTCAATTTTACATGCAGTGTGACTTGCTAGCTGATCCGGAATTACGAACAAACGGCTTGTAAGCAATCAATGACAAACTATAGCACAACGTCTAAGTAAACGACTGAAATGATTTATTCAAGGTGAATGAGGTAATTTGTATTGTTGCTACTGATATAATTACTAGTTGTAGAGCTGCAATAGCTTGAATGCCGGCCTATAACTCCTTTATACTCCAGCTTCATTTGAAAGAGATAATGACTCCTTTATTGAGAATTGTCCAGATGTTTTCGATAAAGTAACAAGAAGAAGAAGAACCAAACTGATATAAGAAATGTTAAAACAGGTTGTTTTATATTTTTCTGGAACTACATGATTACTATAAACCGTTGATATTAAGAAACCACTCTAGACCAATTTTCGTACGTCAGTACATTAAACAAATGCGTACTTCGTTTGATCAGATTAAAATAATGTATCAAAAATATGCAATTTCAATAAAAGCCAAAGCAAGAATTTTACGTACGTTTGTTTCTGGAGTAAACTTAACAGTTTACTCCAGAAACATAGTATTTTTAATTAGCATCGATATTATTTTTTGTGCTCGGCTTGACATTAATTATTTTATAGCTCATCCTCCAATCACAGTTTATGATCTCGTTATTTTCGTCCTCTTATCTCTGTTCTTACGATGTACTTCATTATACTTGTACAGTTTTGCACTTATAACTTTTATGGTACCATTTTGTATCTTGTCTTGTTGTTTTGGAATTGTACCATCTTTCACGGACCTTTCCATGGACGCTTACAAATGGTTCATTTCATCATCTTCTCCGATATGCAATGTTTGGTGTCAATTTCGTTTCACTGCTAATTTTTACTTATTATGTGACTTGTGACTAATATATGACAAAACTTCGGTGGACATTTTTATATCCTACCCCATATAATGTTTGATGTTTAAACATCTTCAATATGAACATAATTTTTGAAACAATGATGCATATTTCTGCTTTAAAGTTTTTCTCACATTAACATACTGAGTTTGTAATATATTTCACGTCCAA